TTTTATTTTTAGTTTGTAAATACATTATTTTTGTACATAAACGTTTGTATTGTACATTAATTATTATAAATAATTTATTAATGTTTATAAATGTTCATATTAATGTTTTATATTCATTGTTTTTTTTTATTTAATGTGTGTGTGTGTATGTGTGTATATATATATAATAGGCCTGTGTGTGTATCCCTTATTCTGTCCCTTATTTTTCTATGAAAAACCACGATTGTCCCTTATTTTCCTTTTCTAAAGTTGGCAACCCTAATCAGAGGGCCCAGCAAAAAATCAGGATCCCGTGTTCTTTTCCACTCATTTTTGGCGGCAGGATTGTGCGTAATGACACGCTACTCACTTCACAGCGTGCATCACTTGTTTAGCTAATATAGAAGTGTAATTAGCATTCGTTAGCTTTGTGATGCTGATAAATCTTCCTTTGTAGCATTGGGATGTTATAGGGGAAGTCGTGGCCTAATGGTTAGAGAGTCGGACTCGTAACCCAAAGGTTGCGGGGTTTGAGTCTCTTACCGGCAGGGATTGTAGGTGGGGGGAGTGAATGTACAGCGCTCTCTCCCACCTTCAATACCACGACTGAGGTGCCCTTGAGCAAGGCACCGAACCCTCAACTGCTCCCCGGGCGCCGCAGCATAAATACTTGAAAATATAATTTATTCCTGTGATGCAAAGCTGAATATTCAGCATCATTATTCCAGATTTTAGTGTCACATGATCCTTCACAAATCATTCTAATCTATGCTGATTTATAATCAATGTTGGATACAGTTGTTTTGCTTAATATTTTTTGGGACCTGAGATATTTTTTCAGGATTCTTTGATAAATAAAAGGTTAAAAAGAACAGTATTTATTCAAAATAAAAATTGTGTTAAATATACACAACTATTCCAAAAAAAAAAAAAGTTTGGGGTCAGTAAATTTCTTTTTTTTTTCTTTTTTTTTAAAAGAAACTTTTAGAATACTTTTATTCAGCTAGGATGTGTTAAATGGATAAAAAGTGATATTGTTAGAAAAGATTTCTATTTTGAATAAATTCTGTTCTTTTTAACTTTTTATTTTATTTATGGAACACAGGTTCCAAAAAAATATTAAGCAGCACAACAGTTTCAACACTGATAATAAATCAGAATAAGAATGATTTATAAAAGGATCATGTGACACCGAGGACTGGAGTAATGATGCTGAAAATTCAGTGCTGCGTCACAGAAATAAATTACATTTGAAAGTATAATAATTAAGATAGGAAACCAACATTAGAAATTGCAGTAATATTTAACAATATTACAGTTTTTTCTGTATTTTTAATCAAATAAATACAGCATTGATAAGCATAAGAGACTCCATTTAAAAAAACATTACAAATCTAAAAGATATACCTTCACTATAGGGGTTAAGAGAGCATTGCAGACAAGTTGTAGCAGGATGTCTTTGAGATCACGCCCGATTGCGCGTTATCAGCGGTTTGATCTCTATATTGAGGAACGTTCTCTGGGGCGCTTAATTGGGAGTTTTAATTGGATGTTCGCCATGGTTTCTTCCCTCACTCAGACTCGCTGGGGACTCTGATCTGGCTTCCTCCTCTGATTATCCAGCTTTAAAAATCTCTCTCACACACACTATTGTCCTCCCAGTTGTTATGCAGCTGCATCTATTTCTTTTCTAAGCATCTGCACAGTGGTTTCTTCATCGGCATGCGCTGCTACCAGATTTTTGCATTCTTGCGTCAATCTGTTTGCACAAATCGGGACGAACTGCTTCATGTATGCACATAAACTCAGTGCTAGCTGTCTTTCTGTTTTCGTTTCTCAGGACTGCGGATTTCATAATCATCTCTCACATTAATGCAAGCGCATTAAATGCAGCATGCGCTTTCCACAGCTACGGTTTGTACTTGGCCGTTCCAAATTTTTACGACTCTTCTTCGGCGTTCATTTTGAAGAAGATTGTTATTTCCGTTCACGCGCTACAATGCAGTTGTGTCTTGCCCCATTTTAACACTCCTATTATTCTTGCGACCGCAGGGCATGCATCTTTTCGTGCACCCCAGTTTGAAATGGCAGATCTTTCAATCTCTCCATTTCAGTGCCGAATCCGTCATGTTAGCATTAATAATGCATGGAAACGTGCAGGATTAGGAAGCCAGCCAGTCATGAGCGCAGCCCTGATTGCATCTGACTGCTGGTGCTCTCCATTAAAAAGAAAACACACACTTGTACGGCATATCGCCATTGGCTGGAGGTAGCAAGAAAGATAGGAGATAGAAATACCTGGAAAGATAAAAGACCTGGGCACGCATAAATGCACGTCTCGAGAGCCGCTCGACTGACTGTCAGTGGTTGCAATGCTGGTATCCGCAGGCATTGCATATCCTTGGCTCATAATGGCTTGTTTAAAAAAGCTTGGGTTATTTGGAGTTTGGAGGTGGGGGGTTTCGCACCAAAACTGTTTGTATGTACCAAGTGTGGCACGATTTTGCATCAGCATCAAATGCATGCAACACATTGTTAAGAATGGCATGCCAAACCATAATGGCATGACGCAAAAGTTGTTGCATAGTGGCTGTGCATGTAGTGTCGCTCCCCAACAAGTCAATAACATTCGCCTCTCCGTCCAGCTCAATTATTCATACACACAGGTCCTTGTGCATATTGCATGACAGTACAGTTGAAATGTGCTTATTTTCCCAGCCTTTGGGGGCTAGCCAAAGTGGGGAACATGAATTGAGAGAATTTGATTCGCGAAACATCTATATTCTGACGTCAGTTGGCTTCATTAACTTTTGCACCAACAAATGCGACCGTGTTGCATTCGTGAAATTTAATCGTTTCACCCCAAGCGTGATACAAATTGACTGCCTTTGATGAATGCATTGTTAGTTTGCATTTCGTTGTAGCACACTGTTGCAATGAAACTTCAAACCTTCACGTTCCAGACATGGTGAACGGGAGCTGCATTTGGAATCTGACTTGGACAGCCAGCGTAGGAGAGCGTCGTAAATCAGGGCAGACATATTCCTCCTCTTTGTCTGGGCATGCCGTACCTGCTTTGGCCCTCTGTTTGTGGCGCTCCAGAGCCGAATCCCTCAACTGACGTTTTCAATTGTTTATGTGAGACGGAATTTCTAGTGTCGCCATGCAGGTTGACAGGAAACCCCAAGCTGACAAGCCAGCTGTCACTAGGTCCTCACTTGTGCATTATGACTTCCAGGCTCTCTGGAAACGTAACACGCCACACTAGAGGAGCACAAATAGCGATGCAGACTGACACGGCGTGTGTGTATGTGATGACTGTGTTATTGTGTTGATCGCAGCAGAAGGACACAATAGACTTATTATGAAAGTTTGAAGTGTTTCACGTGCCCTCCGAAGAGGAGAACAAGAGTGGGCTGTTGCAGTGCATTATGTCGGCTCCCACAATCATATAGCTATCTTGGCTTCTTGGTGACATTTGACTGTTTAGTTTTCAGTGTTGATGACTTCTCTTTATTTTTTGTATAATTTTTATATTAAATAAATTTTGGGACAATATTATTGTAATATTTCATACAGTATTATTAATAGTATTTTATATAATATTATAAAAAATATTGTCAATGTTTATTTTTTGGGAATACACTTTGGCATTTTATTTTTAATTTATTTAGACATTTATCAGTAAATTTTGTGCTTAAATATAATATTTTATCCAAAATGAAAAATATTGTTATTTATTTTTATGAAGAAGGCACAGTGTGTCAGTACCATTTATTTTATTTTATTCGTATTGGCTAATGTTGTATATTTAATTTTACATGCTCATTTCTCTTATTTTTACATTTAAATTATGCTCTCCATTATTTAACACTAAGTTAATCTTTGACAATTTTCTTTAGAAAATTTAAAATATTTTAAAATATTTGATTAAGCTTGAAGTTAACCTTTTTTTTATTTTTTCTAGAAAATGACAAATGTTTTTATTATTTTATTTAAAAAATAATTCACTTATAGCATTTAGTGGTTTTATTTCTAACTTATTTAGACAAAATATCATAGACTTTTAATGTCAGCCATTTGTCAGTCCATTTAGTAGTTCCTCAGCTTCCACTGTTGGTCCTCTACCAGATCCCCAGGGCACAAATTAAAAGAAAAGTGCCATCTTGGACTGTGACTTGTTTGAACACCCTTACTGAGTCACACAGGCCTGGAGGTTCATCTACAGATGCCGCAGTCACTCTTTACAGAGTCTCAGCGCTTCATGTCAACATCTCTTTCATTCTCGACGTGAGCGAGCGCTTCCGAAAGCAACTACACATGTTCGTGCGTCTCTTGCCATCTTGCCATCTGATGTTCTTGCCATCTTTAATTAAATGGTGTATAAGCACGTTCGCCGGGTTTCCGCCCCGCATGTGTGAGAAACACAGCAACCCGCGAGTCGACTCCCAAGGCAGAAAGCAGTGACGGGGGGATTAATCGCAATTTGGCTAAAACAAAGAGACGCGTCTGAAATATTGATGAGTGTCTTGGTAATTACAAGATGGGCAGATAAGTAAATAATGACAAGATCCAGCGATAAAGCCTGACTAATTATGAGTTGTGTGAAACTGTAATTGGGAGTCTGAGGGAAAATGAACAGGCTCAAACTGAGCGTTCTGGTAAAGCGTGTGAATGTACTTGATGGTTGACTGGTGAAACAATGTTAACATTTTTGTGTTTTTCTTGTCTGTGAGCGAGAGCGTCATTAGTCATCGGCATTCTCCTGTTTTCTCTCCTCCAGAGTGCCACACATCCAGCGTGCCGACCCTTCGTCTCCAGCCTGTGGGGCCACGGCTCTCCAGCCAGGTCAGAGGTCATCTGCGACATGATGCCAGCCAGCCACCTGCCTATCCTGCTCTCCCTGAGTGCCCTGCTGCTGTCTCCACTGCTCACCGGCTCCTTGGCCTTATGTAAGAGCAAACTAAGATGAAACTTGAGTTTAAGTCTCAAGTGTGTCAAAACTCTAGAATAGACAGTTTTTTTCTAGAATTAAGAGTTAGTGCTATGCAAATGTTAAGACTTTTGACCTAATATTGGCTGATTCAGTGGTTGAGGGTGCCATTTTTGGGTCAACGCATCGTATTATCATTGCCGACCCAATAATGGCCAAATCAGTGGTTAAGGGTGGCCATTTTGGGTCGACATCGATGTATTACCATTGCAGACCCAATATTGGCCAAATCAGTGGTTAAGGGTGGCCATTTTGGGTCGACATCGACGTATTACCATTGCAGACCCAATATTGTCCAAATCAGTGGTTAAGGGTGGCCATTTTGGGTTGACATCGACGTATCACCATTGCAGACCCAATATTGGCCAAATCAGTGGTTGAGGGCTACCGTTTTGGGTCAACTTTAGCATATTACCATTGCACGCCCAATATAGGCTGATTCAATGGTTAAGGGCAGCCATTTTGAGTCATTATAGACTTATTCTCATTGCACGTTCAATATTGGCTGATTCAGTGATTGAGGGCAGCCATTTTGGAACAACATTGATGCATTACCATTACAGACCCAATATTGGCTGATTCAGTGGTTTAAGAGTCAATATCATTGGCCTGTATACTCGTAACTAATACGTAACTATTAAAATGTAGGACTATTCTCATGAGCAGTTGTGAGAAGTTCTGTCATGGCAGAGCAGCAGGTTTAATATTTGAAAGAAACCTTTTGGTTGTGACAAAACTTGAAGTTAAGACTAAATTTAAGCTTTTCTTAACATTAGCGATGGTCAACTAGTTGATTAACCTTCTTTCCACTCGTTTAAAAAAATCTGGATTTTTCTATTCAATTCAAGTTTATTTGTATAGCGCTTTTCACGATACAAATCGTTGCAAGCAGCTTTACAGAAAATCAAAGTTTGCATTGGTATATTTGTGTAAAGTAAATTTTGCATTGGTATATTTGTGTAAATTGTTTCAGAACTTTTGATTGCAACAATTTTTAAAATTAAGACTAAACTCAAGCTTTACTTACCTGCTAGTTGATAGGAAATTTAATGACAGTTTTTTTTTTTTTTTCAAATATTTATATTGGTGTTGATATTTTTATCTGTAATTTAATTAGTTTTATCTGTTAGAATGTTTACATGATTAAATCCTCTCAGAAAATGTGTATTTTTTAGGTCAATTGAACCCGAAATTAATCTAATTATACAGGACTTGATTAAACTGATTAATCGGCTAGTCATCCAGGCAAACCACCGACTAGTAGGTTTCATAATCATCAAAAACAAAACTGTGTGGGTTTAAGGATCTCCCCGTACATGTAGAGACGTGAAGCGCGAGATCACTGTTTATCGGATTATTTCGTCTCTCTTTTCCGCGTGTATATCTCTTCATCAGACGGATCGGGGGCTGCGCTGTCTTTTAATTTCCAAGGCTCGTAGTCAGGATTTGTTCTGCACCATTTCTCCCCTAAGATGGGTTTAGAGACGCATTAGGGAAACAAAACAAAGAGTCAAGTGAAGTAAAGAGGGGCGAGTGCGAGCGCGGGATGAAAGCGGAGGTAAAGCCTCCCTCTGCTGCTTTCAAGCCTAAAATAGGTGTAATTCAAGCGCTGCCCGAGAGATAACGTGAGAATGGGCCGCTGTCAGATATGCCACGTCTTTGTGTGCCCGACATTGTTCTGTTCTGCTGTATGTTGGTTTTGTAAGGCGGCCCAGAAGCTTAATGTACATCTGACGCAATGAGGGTGAACAAAACTATTACTAGTCGTGGGTTGCTTGAACGTCTACAATATGACTTACGTTTTATTCAGGTTTACGCTTATAAAGGGGTGTTTACTTCAGATGCATTCAAGAATGGCTAGATGTACTGCAATGGAATGGATTTTCTCCAAAATAAGTTATCCTTTTTGTGACGCAATCTTAAAAAAACGAAGTTTGGAAATGCAAAAATGGCACGAAACTTTGTATTTATGCATTTTAGAACGCAACAAAGCACAATCGAGCTATAAGCGATTGCGTTGTTTCTCAATTCCTTTAAAAAAAAAAAAAAAGTTTTTAGGTATATTTGTTTGTGTAAATTTTCTTTCTAGCCTTTTGTTTAGAACTAATTTCAAGATTAAGACTAAACAAGCTTTACTTAACGTTAGTGATGGTTCACGATGGTCGACTAATTCACTAGGCGTCCAATAACCAATTAAGTCGGTGCTAGTCGATTAAGGAATTTTTCCAGGTTTTTTTTTTTCGTTCATGTACTTGCATCCAAAATGTGACTTTTTTTGTGTTCATATACTTGTGTACAATATGTTTCTAGCCTTTTGTTTGGCTAATTTTAAGATTAAGACTAAACATTAGCGATGATTCACGATAGTTGACTAATTGACTAGCCTTATAATAACATGCCAGTCGATTAAGAAATTAGTTGTGTTTTTTGCATTCATATACTTTCGTCCAAAAAAATTTCTGTTCATATACTTCCATCCAAAATTTGGCTATTTGTTGCTTTCATATGCTCTGTCCAAAAAAATCTGGTTATTTTTTGCATTCATATAATTTCATCCGAAATTTGACTATTTTCATGTTTGTATACTTACATTTAAAATTTGGCTCTTTTTTTGCATTCATATATTCAGTTCAAAATTTGGCTATTCTTTGCATTTGTATACTTGCGTTTCTCCTCAAAATCTTTAAAAAGAGACCCAAAATAATCCATAATTGTCATACATTTTTATTTTCATTTTCCCAAAACAGCTATACAATTAAAGTGGATCGATTAAGAAATGTTTGAGTTCATATTGAGACCTCTGACAAATCTGAGCACGGTTTGAGACGTTGTCGAGATCTCTTCAGGAAATGATGAGTAAAATCTGAACTGGACACTAGCCTCCATTTGTTGTCTGTTTATGCTCAATGTAATCTAGGACAAACAATTGAGACATTAACGAGATCACATTTGTGTTTTCTGTTTTTTTATGCACCACCTATGACTGTAGGATATATATTTTCTCACTATCAATCCATCTCTGTTTTCATACCGTGACACCCTCAGAATTGCTCTGCGTGTCTGTGTTTTTGTGTCTTCTGTGTGATTCAGATGTTTACTAGGCAGTGCGTCGTCCGCTGTATTCTCACAGGCTCTGATCGCTAATTACTGTCTCGTCAGGTTGTCGAACAGCACAGCCGGCTGAACGGGGGACATTTTGTTGTTGTTCTTGTGTCATTTTCAGTGTTGGAGAAGCTTTGAAATTAATTTGGAAAGGTTTGCTGTGACTTGTGAGATGTTATGCTAATATTTTGGGGAAAAAAATAGAGTTAACATTTAGATGTCAAAAGTTAGCAGTTAATGGCAGTTGCACTTAAAGTTATAAATAAAAATAACTGATTAATTTAAATGAACTGTTTTAGTTGTTGACTTTTAAAGCTAATGCTTTGTATGAGAGTTTGGAAACAGTCAAGTGACTCTAAGCTAAGAAGCTAAAAGTTAGCAGTTAGCAACAGCTGCACTTAAAGTTACAAATAAAAAGAAGCTTTTTTGACTGTTTAAACTAACTTTTAGCTATCTAATATTAGATGTTTCACATGAGTGTTTAGGATCAGTCAAGCTACTTTTTTGGGAAAAGAGTTAGCACTAGCATTTGGCCACAGTTGCACTTAAAACTAGACTTAAAAGTAGCTTATTTTAACAGATCCATTCAAATTAACAGTTTTAGCTATTTACTATTAGACCTCATGATGCTTTTTATTAGAGTCTAGAAACAGTCAAGCTACTTTTTGGGGAAAGAAGTTAACACTTAAATGCTAAGTGTTAGCACTAACATTAAGTGACAGTTACACTTGAATTTACAAATAAAAAATTTTCACTGATTGAAACTACAAAATCAGATTTCCTAATGAAATTTTAGGATAGTACTATAATCGCATCGGCTAGCATGGTGCTAAAGCTATGTGTGCAATACAGCATGACATAAAAACTGCAAAGTAGCATGTTTTCACGCTACACTGCTACTAATTGGAAAACGTTGCCTGTTTCTAGTAAAGCTAGTAGCATCGCATAGATAAATCAATTGCCAAATTTGTTTTTCTTTTCTCAGAAACGCATCCAATTGTGGATGTAAATTGGGTTGTGATCTGTTTCGTATGGACTTTAAATGGTTTTTGTTCTTACAAACACCTGTTTTAAAGGCGCCGTTCAGCCCACACACGCCGCCCAGGTGGATTTGTGGTCGTTGTGTCGTACAGCTGCGCCGCACACGGGCCTTTACTTAGACACACACACACAAAGCGAGTGGATGTCACCTCTGCGAGAGGTTGCCAACTGCATGATGTCATCCTTACCGCCTCCCTCCCTCTCGCTCACTCATGCTCTCATAAATCAACATGTGGAGGAGACGTTTTTAATCAAAAAGAAAAAAGGGCTGTGAATAAATCTGGCCTGTGGTAATAAAGCTTGGGGCTTGTTTGTGTGTGTGTGTGTGCAGAAAGTCCACCAGTTTTACATTTACACGATTAGCTTCTGAGTGCACGCGCACACATACACACACACACACACGCACACACACACACACACACACACACACAGTCTCCATCCTCACTTTAGGACTTGCTGGCGTCAGATGAATACATACTAGCATTAGATCTGGTTTAGCTTGATGTGTGCATATGTATGTGTATATACTGTATGTATGTATGTGTGTGTATATTTATATATATATATAACTGAATGTTTAAATGCAATAAAGCAATACAGAAAAATTTATTAAAGTGCAAAAGAACTATAAAGACCAATAGGTATCACTTTACAATAAGACCTCATTAGTTAACCTTAGTTAATGCATTAACATTCACAATGAGCAATAGCTACAATTAATAAAATAAAAACTAAACATACGTGTGTGTGTGTGTGTGTGTATATATATATATATACCTGTATATATATATAATATGTATAGATGTGTGCAAACGT